ACCAATCAAAACTTCATATGGTAAAAAGAATAACATCTTTGGACACTAGATGTCATTATTTTCTATGATTTTACGTATAGTAGTCATCAACTAGTGTAGCAGAAGAACGGAATAGTTAGAAAAGAATACACCAAACTATACTACATGACCTTACGTCAAAAAGTAGTTTCTTTCCACCAGATTTTTAAAAATATCTTATTTTAGTTGTAGATGGACACAATACCTTTGTTTTATTTTTTTTGTGGTGCTGAGTATCGAACCCAGGACCTTGCACGTGCTAGACCGAACACTTTACCGCTGAGCTGCAACCCAGCCCCTCCACCAGATTTATGAATTTTAAGTTAAAGTGTGGTCAAGGCGTCACAAGCATGTGTGATACATAGTCAGCCTGATATACCTGGGTGTTAGAAAGCAATTTCTAAATTAAACTTTCCGGTCACCAAGAGCAACTCATTTGAAGCATACATGGACCACATTTTTACAGGCAGAGTGGTCTTTACCTAGAACTATAAGCCAACAAGCTCAAAGTGCCACCCAGAATGTCAGGAATAGCCCTCACTGGGGGTGCCCCTTCTCGGACTCAGTTTCATAGAGCTTGCTCATCAGGAGGGGCCCTGTTTGGAGACCAACTGTAAAAGAGGTGACTGTGTAACTGTCCTCCTATCAGACTTCCTCCAAGAAGGCCACCAAGATCATGAGCAGACAGTTAGAATTGCTGAGATGCAGCCTGTCTGGTTCCATCCAGTGGAGGCAGCTTTGGGTTTCTTCCTGGTCGTGGGAACTAGGAGGATCCTCTCCTCATTTTAGTGGATTTTAGGAACTCTGGTTTTTGTTCTCAGAGAATCATGTTCAGCCTTCTAAGATGCCCTCCGGCTTGTGTCCCAGTTCATGTAACCACCCTTTTTCTGTGTCCCCAACACTAATTTCCCACCTTGTCCTCTTGTTTCAGGGTCAAGGTCTCTGCCTAATTCAACAGACCCTGTGTCCCTCCCTGCCTTGTACACTGACCAGATACCTAGTCCCTCTTGACTTGCCACTTTTCTTTGTTTATGTGACTCTTCCTCCGTCCTGGAGCCCTGCCTTAGCCCTGCTAAATGGGACCCTGTTGCCAGAAGAAAGCAGCCCTTTCCTGGCCTGGTGAGCACCTAGCACAGGCACCTAGGTTCAGAGCCTGGTCATTAAACAGTGTCTTGATGAGCATTAGCCACCAGGCCCACCCTGTGTGAGGCCCATCTGCAGCTCTTCTAAGGTGCCCAAAACCTCTTTCCATGACCCCATACCTGCATAAACCTGTCACTCTAAACTGTCCTTTCTGGATGATGAAACTTCCAACAGATAAAACTTCCTCCCATC